GGAACACTCCCAGGGAGGGGCCATCCACAGCTTCTGTGGGCAACCTGTTCCAGTGCCTCACCACTCTAACAGTAAAGAATTTCTTTCTAACATCTAATCTAAATCGACCCTCCTTCAGCTTAAGGCCCCTTGTCCTATCACTACATGCCCTTGTAAATGGTCCCTCTCCAGCTTTCTTTCAGGCCCCTTTAGGTACTGGAAGGCTGCTATAAGGTCTCCCCAGAGTCTTCTCTTCTCCAGGCTGAACAACCCCAACTCTCTCAGCCTGTCTTCATAGGAGAGGTGCTCCAGCCCTCTGATCATCTTTGTGGCCCTCCTCTGGACTTGCTCCAACAGCTCCATGTCCTTCTTATACTGGGGACCCCAGAGCTCCAGGTGGGGTCTCATGAGGGCAGAGCAGAGGGAAAGAATCCCCTTCCTTGACCTGCTGGTCACACTTCTTTTGATGCAGCCCAGGACACGGTTGGCTTTCTGGGCTACAAGTGCACACTGCTGGGTCATGTTGAGCTTGTTATCCACCAACACCCCCAAGTTCTTTTCCTCAGGGCTACTCTCAATCCATTCTCTGCCCAGTCTGTATTTGTGCTTGGGATTGCCCCGACCCATGTGTAGGACCTTGCACTTGGCCTTGTTGACCTTCACGTGGTTTGCCCAGGTCCACCTCTTAAGCCTGTCAAGGTCCCTCTCAATGGCATCCCTTCCCTCCAGCACATTAACTGCACCACACAGCTTGGTGTTGTCAGCAAACTTGCTGAGGGTGCACTTGATCCCACTGTCAAATCATACATGACTACTAAAACTCCCACTGTTAAAATCAAGAAGAGAGGAAATACAGTTTAAGACCAGTTAATTCTTCTATGACCTGCACTGAGTAGTTCAGAGGCCATGCTTGTTTCCTGAGTAAACAGGACTGTAATCCATTTTTTTCCCTCAAATTACCTGGGCTGTCTGATTGACATCCTTTGAGGAACTCGTCCATTGGCTGCACATCAATTAACACAACTGCAGTTCTGTAACTGAAACCAGAGCTCTATATATGAGGAATGAATGAATGCATGAATACTGTTGAGTGTACCTAACTAAAATAAATAAATAAATAAATAACTTACCATATATAGTTTAGCGCTTCTTCTGTTCGTAATATCAGCCAGCTCATCATCATCATCACCACACTCAGGAAGTGCTGGCTTGCTCCCTAAAACCTGTACAAGAGAATAACAAATTCAGTGCAGAGAGAGAGAGTAGGTGCCATAGTATAAATACCTAAACACTGTAATCTGTTGTCCCAGTAATCAATTAATCGGGATCATCTCTACATATAATCTAATCAAAATCCAAACTAATGGGTGACTTGTTCACAAACGTATGGATGATTTTAAGTAACTGTGTCAGATCTCCAGCAGCTTTAGATCCACACGCTGTCTTTTCTGCAGGCCAACTTGCTGGTCATCTATAGGCTAGGATAGGAATGATATATAGAGAAAAGCTTCAAAGGGACATACACACAAATACACAGAATAGAAAGGTTTCTGTGATCCTATTCTATGTGTGTGTTTATATGTCTGTCTTCCCATTTTCCTCCCAGTAACTTCTAAACTGTCAGCAAGCAGGTCTTACAATTTTTGGAATGATATTATGCTTAAAATGTTTAACAATACTAAAATTAAAGAAGACAAAGTGAAATATATGAGTTGAAATGATCTTTTAAAATATTACAATTGACAATATAAAATACCAGATTATGAGTTCAAAAATCTTAAAAATTACAGATTCTTAATCCCATTTTAAGGGGGAGAAGTTAGCCAAGGTCTTGAAAAAAATTTATGGGGTAACAAAAACATTTTCTTGCTCCATCACCAGAGTATCAGTTTTAACACTGTGGTTGTTTTACATCATAGTAGTTTTACACCATGGGTAATGTTATAACAACTATCACTATTGCAACATGGAGTCACATGCAAACCCACTGTGAATATTTGATAAGAGGGAAGCCTGACAAAGCATACAGCTGCAAAGAATTTGGAATAAAACCAATATAGCCTAAATACTTAATATAAATCTGCCATCTGTGGAGTTTCCTGACCTGGTAAAGCCAGTAAAATAGTGGGAAAAAAAATAAAAGCCTTGTTAAGTGTGATTGTTGCAGTTTAAGCTAAAATATTTTACTTGTGACTCGTTGAAGACAAGAAAGTAATGCCCTGAGTGTTTATGAAAGGGTGTTACCAGTAGCTCTTCAGCAGCTATCAGTCAGGATTTCCAGAATACATGGCTGCGGATTTACTAATGCATACGCCGAGTAGGGCTACATGTTCATAGCAGAGTGTCACCGTGCTGGTGAATGGCTAAAACCAGTGGCCATATGTGGCATATCAGCACAAGGTTTCTGAAAATGTTTCCCTCTCTAGATTTTCACGCTAACCAGCAGTATACACACAGGCCATAGAGCACCAAGAATAATATTGTCTTTGTAATGCAAGGGTCAGAAAATCGACAAATAACAGGCATGCATCTTTACCTGAACAGACACTGAATAGGCTTGAGGGTTTGGTAACATTTGACTTTCAGTAACAATTAAGAGGCTAAAAGAGTCCTGTTAATAAAACTTCCACAAGTCTATACTCACTAGTTCTCTGCTTAATTAGGTATTTGCAGCAAAAATATACACCCCCAAAAATTTACAAAAATTGTGATTCCTGATACAGTTAAAGTCAGCATTTTCCCTTGCCATGCATACAGAATACCTGTGGCACCACAATTATTTTGCACCTTTGTTCTAAGTCACTTAAAGTGATATAAAATAAACTGCTCTTAAAATTTTATGCTTGCCCAGGGGTCTTTGAAAACACGAGTGCCACTCTGAATATTTTTAAACAAGGCTAAATAGTGCCTGTTAGTGTTTGTGAAAACATCTTGATAAAAGTAGCCTCCCTTTTCACAGCACAGTCTAGACGCTCCACTCTGATGGCAATTAAACCAAGAAGCCCCTATAATTTAAAAACTGGGCTTTAAATTTGGCCCCAGCAGTTTACATTGCTGGCCTGACCTGCTGGTGTCTTAAAACTGCATG